CTCCATCTCTTGTCAGATTGTCCATTTAATGACTTCTTTGGTACTAACAGTACAGGACTGTTATACTCAGAAGTTGATGGTTCTATAATATTATGTTTAATTAATTTATTTACTTGCCTGGTTATTTCATCTTTATGGGTATATGGTAGTCTGTAATTTTTTTGATATGTTGGCTCTTTTGTTTAAAGCGCAACTTTTGTTTGTAAAAGTTATTAACTGATATAGATTCTGATTCAAGTGCAAATATATCTACATATTTTTTGCACAAGTTTTCTAATTTTGTTTATACAAAAGCGGGGAAATTTTTCGATAATTTTTCCAACTTTATTTTATCATTGGTTATTGGTGGTTTTGATATTACACTGTAATCGTTAAGATCTTCTGTAATAATTTTAAGATTTGGTATGAAGGCGTGTTGATTGGTAGTGTTAATTATACGTACGTTTACTTGTTGTTATTGTATTTGCTACAAAACTACCATTTTGTATTTCTTGATTGGGTATAAATATTTCTTCGTAGAAGGAATCTGTAACAATGGTTCTAGAAACTTCAGATCTCGCCGGAAGTGAAATTGAGTTTATTCTGAGGTTATTTACCATTGGTATGGCCAGATGTTGAGGGAAATTATATGGTCTCAATATTAAAATGTCTTGATCTTGTTGATATTCAAGGATACAATTGTATTTTTTAAGAAAATCGAGCCCAAGTATTGCATTCGAGAGAATGGGAAAATCATCATCGACAACATGAAAACTATGTTGTATTAGCATGTTTTCAATTTTGAGATCTGTTTCAACTTTTTCTAAAGTATATTTTATACCATCTCCTATGCCGTTAAAGCTTATTATAGCATTCGAATTAATGCTAACTTTTTCTATTTCTTTCTTTTTAATTACAGAAATATCCGCACCCGTATCAATTAAAAATGCTGATACTTTATTATTTAGTGTGGATCTAGCTAAAATGAAATTGGCAAGATTTAAATTAATATTATATATTTTTCTGTTGATGTTTTTAATTATTGAGCACCTGGGGTGCTGTATAATACGAACATTTCTTCTGTTGTTCTGGTAGTTATTCCTATTATTAGGATTATATCCGCTATTACTATTATAGCTGTTCCTTTTCTGCCCGCGTGTTCGAAATTGTACGCGTCCATTTGGTTGTCCACGTCTATAGGATTGTCCGCGTCTACTTCCGAAATGTAGTATTGCGGATGTTTGACTATTTGATTCCGTGCAGGAGTTTACGAATTTTTCTACCACCTCACTCATGTTGTTGAAAGTTCCCGATTCTATTACTAGTCGAACTCTTCGTTGCTAGTATTTTTTATTATCGCCTTAACAGCTGCCTTAGTTGAATAAGATTCAGCTAGCGTCGGTGTAAGTCCATCCGAAATATATGCACACTGTAGCTTTTTTGTAAGCTCTTCGACTTCCTTGGCATATGTATTCACCGGTTTGGAATTTTGACGAATATTCATCAACTTTGCAGTGATGACATCAACGGATTCGCCTTTAACTCTCTTCTTTAGAGATTCTATTACTTGTGGTATCGTCGTTTCTGATCCTGTGATCAGATTTATTGTTGCTCCTTTTAGTTTTGTCCACCGACTGTCCATGGCTCCTGGATAAGCGCTATGGCCAGTCCTTTTGTGGCGAAGGTCCTGCACAAAGTAGCAGATGTTCCTTTCGAGTGGTGCCGATTCGCCTGTAACACCCCTATGGTGCTCATTTCAGTTGGGTTTTATTAAGAGAGCGTTCGACTTCCTTCTGAAGTCGATCGTGGCCC